TAGGTGTGCAGCTATAGTTCTTGTCTCTGTTCTGTTCCCTTGGTCCGTATGTCTATTTTTGTACCAGTACCATGCTCTTTTAGTTACTGTAGTCTTGTAGTATACTTGGCTATTTGGACTCCTTTTCTTGGTTCCATATTTATTTTAGAATAGTTTTTTTTTTTTTTTTCCGTTTTTTTGTTTTGTTTTGTTTTGTTTTTTAAACCAAGAAAACTAAAAGGGAGTTGGTGAAGGACATCTTTGGACTGCTTCTCTCAGTTCCTGCTGTCAGACAATCTGAAGTACTTTTAAGTGTAACCTAGGAAAAAACACATACACACACACACACATACACACACAATGAAAATATAGCCAAATTAAAATCAGTTCAACTTAACATGTTCAGAGTGGCAGACATACTTAGGGGCAAAAAGCTAGAGCTTTCTCAAACAGCTCTAAAATCACTCAATGGGGAAAATTCTACTTTACAAAAAACCCTTCAGCATTTGATTTTTATCAAATGTATTCATTTATTGAAGAGCTACTAAAAAGATGCAGCCATCGAACTGTCAAAAAGAAATCTTTAAAGCAGTTAAAGGAAGCTTCCTTCTGTTTAAGCTAGGAAGGAAAATTGATAAGCTGCAAAAAGGACAGAGAATGAATGATAAAAGATCCCTCTCTGCAAGGGGCAGTCAGTTGACATCAAAGATGTGCTAACCATGGCAAGTTACTGTGTTCCTCCCTTTTAAGTTCTATTTTTCAAAAGGTCTTTTGATATTGGGGTGAACTTACCTGCTCACTAATCCTCAGCCTGACACCCAGCTATGTGTCGTCGTCTTGACACTGTGCGGGAAGCTTTGGTTGGGCAACACATTGTCAAAGTTAAAATCCAATGTATCTCCATCCATGAGGTCATTCCGAATGATGGATTCCATGTCACAGTCTAAGCGCTCAATGAACATGCCATCCAAGTCACTTGGGAGCTTCTCCTGGTGGAGAAGGCCCATTCTGCCATAGCCATTGCAGCTGCTCACGGAGTAGCCGCCCCCCAGGGCACTCATCTGCATGGGGTGGGGCAGAGGCACTTGTACAGGTGTCTTCACTTGGGTCAGGCGGTTCATTCCCGAGGTGTGGGGCATGGTGCTTACCGTGTGGGACAGGGCACGCCCGTTAACTGCAGATGTCTGCTGAGCGTGTCCAGGGTGGGTATGGGAGCTGGGATTCATCATTTTGTTATGAGATGCCTGGCTGCCATAGGTTGACATGACCGAATTAGGGCCCATCATGACGTTCTGGCCCAGAACCCGGCTGTTGGGTTGAGCTACCCCAGGATCAACTGGTGTCATAATGTCATTGTGGGGAGGAGAGTCAGAAGTCAGCAACTCCTTCAAGAGTCCAGGTGCACAGTTATACTGACTCATCCCTCCGTAACTTGACTTATTGTCCTGAAGTGTTTGCATAGGCATCTGGGGTAAAGGGCTCATGCTGGATTGGCCATATGTATATTTTTGGTAGTTTGGGCTGGGTGAATTCAAACTGGTGTTTGGTGGTGCAAACGAGTAGCATGGTGTCTGCTGCATCATGGTGCCAGGTGAGGACTGGGTCGAAACAGTTAATGATGTTGGTGATGAGAGAAGGTTGAGATTATCCAAAAGATTTTCCATGTTTTCGGGATTGCTTATCTCAGACAGACTGGGTAAAGTAGAGGCCATCTTTGCGGCAGATGGCGGGTACACCATAGAATGCACATCCCCTTCTCCAAGATCATCCTGTTCGGTCATAATGGGTGAGAGTCTCCCACTAATAGTACTAGCATTTGAGCTAGTTCGAGGGCGAAATGTACTCCAGTTATCAAAGTCGTCGTTGCTATGAGAGCCAGGGCTTGCAGGCCATTTGGAAAACTGTGATCCAGGGCTGTCCCCAGCACCCTCCTGGCCAGACTGGAGGGATGCTTTCTTCTTGGCAGCTCGGCTTCGGCTCTTAGCAAATTTACTGTTGTTGTCCATGGATGCGGCTCTTCTCCTGGGAGATTTCCCGCTCTTGCCGCCCTCTGGATTGAGCATCCACCAAGAACTTTTTCCAGTTCCTTCATTCTGCACACGAATGAACTTGCTGTGTAGGGACAGATTATGACGAATTGAATTCTGTAAGGCAAAACATCTTATTAGAAGTACAATACTTCTCTGTTTGCAAAACTATTCTACATGTATTACATGGAAAACAAGTAAAAAATCTTAAGAGTGCGTGGTACAGATTTTCATCTGAACAGTCCTAATGGCTCTGAAGTCACTACAAAAGATCTCAAATAGCATAGGAATAAATAGTATCTTATCTTAAAAACAGTATCTGTGGCTGGGCACAGTGGCTTACGCCTGTAATCCTAGCACTTTGGGAGGCCCAGGTGGGCGGATCACGAGGTCAGGAGATCAAGAACATCCTGGCTAAAACAGTGAAACCCCGTCTCCACTAAAAATACAAAAAATTAGCCGGGCGTGGTGGCACACGCCTGTAGTCCCAGCTACTCGGGAGGCTGAGGCAGGGGAATGACGTGAACCTGGGAGGTGGAGCTTGCAGTGAGCCGAGATCATGCCACTGCACTCCAGCCTGGGCGCCAGAGCGAGACTCGGTCTCAAAAAAAAAAAAAAAAAAAAAAATCTGTATTTTAATTTAATGAAGGGACAAAATTTAATAAAAAGTATTGAAATACCTTCTTTTATACAGCTATATTTTATGGAAAAATCACAGGAACTGGTTTTAATAACCGCTTAAATTTTGCTTAGCTTCAATAGTACTCTGTATCAAAGTGCTATCAAAAACCCCTTCCATTCTACTATCCTTAAAACTACTGCCAATTCTCTTCAGTTTGAACATGTGCCCTTTACATAAAGAAATTTTATATTACTGGGCCCACATGCTCATAGAAACAAAAAAGACGAAAGAATATAGAGAATATAGGCCAGGCATGGTGGTTCACACCTGTAATTCCAGCACTGTGGGAGGCCAAGGCAGGCATACCACCTGAGGTCAGGAGTTCGAACCAGCCTAGCCAACATGGTGAAACTCCATCTCTACTAAAAATACAAAAATTAGTCGGGTGTAGTGGCAGTCACCAGTAATCCCAGCTACTTGGGAGGCTGAGGCAGGAGAAGGAGACTGCAGTGAGCTGAGATCACTTCAGCCCGGGTGACAAGAGTTAAACACTCTGTCGCAAAAAAAAAAAAAAAAAAAAAAAAAAAAGAATATAGAGCTGATCAAGAATTAAAGTCCCCCAAATTAGTAAGACTTGGATTCATTCATACTTTTAAAGCCCATTAAGCAAATACAAGTGAATATAAGGAAAACAGAGTCATTGCTTTTGTATTTGAGAAAGCTGATCTGCCAGAAGAAATTTTTGTTTTATTTCAAGTAGTGCCCCTACCCTCCAGTTCTACCAACAACCAGTAGTATGAGTAGGATGCACCAACTAACTCCATGACACACCTCCACGTAGCCAGAGGCTACACTGTCCAAACAGACAACCTGGGATGGGAAGAAATGACAAAGAATGCAAAGAGCTCTAACACTCAAGCTAGCGCAGCTTCATGACTAATCATGCCACGTTTATCATCTGTAGGCCAACTAGGGAAGAAAAACCAACCATTTTTCTTTTGAGTATTTGGGTGGCTCTGCTACTTACTTACCTAGGTGACCTTGGGAAGCTGCCTCGCCCCTAATGTGTCTTAAGTTTCCTCACCTGTAAAGCAGGGATAAATTATAGACCCTTATCAGGGTTGTTACATGTATTAAATGAGATACATAAAAATGCTCAGTGGTGCCTGGCATGTAAGCAGTCACCATGAAGGGAATATTAGACCCCAACTTAGAATAGTGGTATCCTGCACCCCCAAAGTCCTGCTTCCCTATTCCTATTCAGTGTGGCACGTATAGGAGCTTAGAAGTAGTACAGATACAAACCCACAACTGCAAATATATGGTGAAAGAGGCCAGAGGTGGTCTCTCCAAGTTTCAGCAGAAACACCAGAGCCAGGCTGCAGATGAGAAAGTCACGGTTTGATTTACCTCCTCTACAACACACGGTAAGACGGTGTTCAGGAGAGTCCATGGGACACGTGGAAAAGGAGACGAGGGAAACGCTGTGAGAGCTCCCCAGGGGAAGGGCCTTGTCTTACAGCTTCTGGCTCCCAGCACAGTACAGGGCACACAGCCACTGCAACTTGTTCATTCAGCAGCCTGTTTCCTCAGAGGTCTGCTCCCAAGGCCAGGAGTGGGATTCTGGGTGTCCTAAGACCCTGGAATGTGCACAGTCCCCCAGCTTTCTTGGCCTCATCTGCCAAATGGATGCAAGACTCAGCTGACCATGCCCCCTGCATCTCTGCGGGCCCTCTCCTCAACCACAAAAAGGCTCTGGCTGGATTTGTGGTCACCCAGGGGTGCAGCCACAGCGCCCACATCCTCATGCCATTGACATGGGCCGCCCAGGCCCGAGTGCCAACCACTGCGCCTGAGCAGAGCCTCTGCACAGCAGGATGAGGCCTGGCTCCAACACGAACTGAGAGAGAAGTCTTCTCTCATTAAAAGGTGGTAGAAGAGAGAAAATGGAGGGGCCTCACTTTCTAAAGGGAGATGCAAAAGTCAGGGCAAGGCCCGGCAGTCACGGCTGAGAAATCCACATTTCAAAACGCCCTCTGACCTCTGTACTGCATTCCGCCTAAAGATTTCAACACAGCAGCTACACGACAAGCCCTCCTGCCAGAGCATACAGTGAGCGTGAGGTGGGGAAGACACCACCAGAGCCCCAGATTCCCAGCTGGAGCGGAGCAGGTGTGTGACTGCATGGCAGTGACTGTCTCCTGTTCCCAAGACTCCCCGCCTTCCTCCACACCCAACGTCTACCCTCACCTTGAGACATGCTGTGAGGAGGGCCAGGGGCTTAAAGTCGGTACAAGAATCCCTAAAAGAGGCCAGGGAGTACATTTCCCTCCCATCCTATTTCATTCCCCTGAGATTCCCAAATTCCTATGGGAAGGCGCTACACACACACATGCATGCTCTCACAGAGCCATAGCCTTGTCTGCTATACTCACCAATTCCAGCAGAACCGAGTTCTTAATTCCTCCTTAATATCAGCAGGCCTGCCCCTGGGGTAGCGCTGGAATGCAGCCCTGCACTCTGACCCTGACGTTTTCTATACGCTGGAAGTCCAGGCATTTGCACAATATTCCATCATGACAGTTTTGTTCTTTGAACACAATAGACACACAGATAAGCTCCGATGAAATCTCCGGAGGAGAGGAAGCTTGACTCCTGTCCCTGTCACATTTAGTTAATGATAAAGGGGGAAGAAAGATCTTCCCAGATAGAAGCTTCCTGGTTGTTGCACTGACTTGGGGAGAGTAGGTGAAGTTCTCTAACATATTCATGATAAGCCTGTCAGATCACTGGCAAGCGCAGCTGGGGGTCATATTTAAAAAGACTACAGGAGACATAATAAGGAAATCTTTAAAATAGTCAAGAAGCGTTCACTAACTCAGGTGGGACATATACTAATTTAGACTTTAAAAAAAAAAAAGCCACAGCGGTCTCTTACTTATCAAAACATCATATTACATATTTTTCTAAGAGGACATTTCAGGTCGCTCTTTGAGTAACAGAGCTGTCTCCTAACTTTGCCAACAATTAAAATTTTTTCCGAACAGGAAAAGGTTTGCTGTGCAGGGCTTGTTACATAAATTCCTGTTTTTCACACAGCCAGCAGGACATTAAAGAAGCTACGGTTTCTAGGGGGTGGGGTTTGAAAAGGTAAATCTTGTAAAAATGTGTTGCTATTAACGACGTTGTGTCTGCACTCCTCTACCGGCCACAAGAGAGGCTAGATGAAAGAGCAGTTCACCAGAGGGACTCCGCAGCAGAGCCGCGTGGCACTGCTGGGCTCTGAGATATTATGCCCTTGAACTCTCAACAAATATTACCTGAGGACAGAGGCAGGGTGTCAGGACAGAGGCTCATGCCCTGTCAATCACTTGCCCAAATCCAGCGTTTCTACATGACAACAGTAGAGAAACGCAAGCCAGCCAATCTCCTCTCCACTAGCTTGTTTCTCTGCAGCCCCACTCACAAGTCTCTGCACACACCCCGTCTGCCATCCGCGTGCCTGGCCACCCCAAGCCGTGCAGCATGTGCTTCCTGGGAAGCCTGACCCAATGAGCTCCACAAATGGGGGAGTTGGGGAACCCCGACATGGTGTACTTGCTTGTTCAACCTGCTCTGCTAGCTATTCTATGTTCAGATTCTGAGCTCCTTAAAGAGCAAAGGGGCTAAAGTTTGTCTTTACTTTCTAATATCATAGCCTCAATAAATGTTTGTTGCTTGAACCCAAAAAAAAAACATTACAAGGAAGATATGGTATCTTAAACACTACACATCTTTTAACTATCCATTTGAGTACCAATTCATGTCAACTAACATTTACTGGAAACTATTTTGTGCTAGGAGTAGTGAAAGACATGAAGGAAAGAGACACAGAACACGCCCTCCAGAAGCTTTTGATCTACCTGGGGAGAAAATGAGTCCACGTAAAGAGCCACTTAATAGGACAGAAAACAACACAACCCACAGACTGCCCAGAAGCACGGACCTTTTCTTTCCAAAGGCTGCCACCCTGCCCTCCATGCCCCAGTTTCTGTCTCAGCCCATCTGTCCCCTCCAGAAGCATTTCCTGATGACCTGTCCCCTCCAGAAGCATTTCTTGATGACCTCATCCCATCCTACAGCTCTAACATGGGACCTTGCTTACTCACTCCTCTTTATGATTCCACTATGTCGGGTCCCTGGTGGGGGGCATGCCTGGCTCCCCACTACACTGTGAGCTGCTCAAGTGAGCACAGGACCTTTGTCTGTCTTCTTGTACACTGTACCCTCACAGCGCCAACATATGGGCACTCAAGTAACAGTTGAATAGATTAGTATTTCCCACATTCACAGGGTTGTTGCGAAGATTAAATGAGATAGTATGCGTGGAACGGCTTACCTTAATCTCTACTAGCTAATGTTACTGTTATCACTACTGGCATAATAGCAGCCATAAAATAACATATGTCTGTGTTTTACAGACCTATATATGTCATAAACATTAGTCTTATTTCTTTATAACCACACGTTGCAGCTCTCACTTAACATGAGGCTTTTTGGTATGTTAATTACTGGAAAGATTGACTGGTTTGGGAAAAACAGTTTATTTTTCTCTTCACACTAGATATTGTAAGTCTGTCAATGCCCTGGTCAGCCAGTGTCACTAGAATACTTGTCTTCTCAAGGTGCTGCAGCCAAGCCACCTGTGCAGGCATTACATATTGTTGGGGCCAGGGCCCTCCAAGCTCTGGACACAGTCAGCATGTGCAGGGCAGCAGCAGGGGCTGGCAGAGCAGGGACCTCAACAGGCCAGTTGGGAGGCTCCACGAGGGATGGTTCCAACTGAGCACTGCTATTCTATTCTCTCACTGTTCTGCCTCTGTGGCTGGAAGAAGTGAGGTGCTGAGGCTGGTCCCCAGAGATCCCTGAGGACACAATGCCCTCCACAGGATGCTCCCAGCTGTCTAAGGCAATCATCAGATAGCCATTGAAGTGCAGGATGAAATCTTTACAACTTTCATTTACTTTAATTTTTTTTTTTTTTTTTTTTAAATCTTGCTATTGTAAATGTGATTCTTGTTCCATTGTATTTTCTTTTTTTTTTTTTTTTTTTTTCCAGGCAGGGTCTCACTCTGTTGCCCAAGCTCTGGAGTGCAGATCACAGCTCACTGCAACCTCCACCTCCCAGGCTCAAGCTAGGCTCCTATTTCAATCTCTCAAGTAGCTGGGACTACATGTGTGCACCA